GAAGACAAACAGGCGGAGACCGAGCATCGGTCCAACCGGCAACGGATAGATTAATTACAACAAGCCAGGCCCCAGTCATACAGACGAATAAGCAGGCCGACGACGGCGGAGCGACACGGAACGGGAAATAAAACGAAGAATCAAAAGATTCGCAGCCGGCTGCCTCTGACAGACCTCACGGAGGAAGTCGCCCAGGGCACGACTAGGTTTTCGCTCTTTTTCCTCTAAATCAGGGGAGGAAGACGGGAAGGAACGTTGTGGGGGGCGATGGGGAAAGTCAGCTAGAGGGAAGCAGGGAGCCAAAATAAGAGAATTCGTTCTCACAGTAACTCTGGAGAAAAGATGGAAGCGGGTGCGTGTATTGCAGTGTGAGCCCGTCGGTCGCAGTGTCGGATGTCTCCTCAGTCGGAGGTGACGTGGCGAGACGATTGCGAGGAACCTACGACTCCGCTCGGGTTCGTTCCGAGGAAAATCACCGGAAGAGTCGATACACAGCGAATATGGAGCTTCGAATCAAGGCTTCGCCGGCAGGAACCCCACGTCGTCTAGTTTCAAGTTGAAAATTTGAAGGAGCATCAATCAGAAGAAAAGCCCCACCAGCCCCATAGGGAAACCCTGTGACCATGAGCGGTATACGCAGCTTCTGAGTTTACGTGCCACGCAGGAACATTCCTTCTTCGTAACGTATGCTGGATGAAAAGAGCCCCGCCTGGAGCCAGGTCGGCATGGACTGCGGTCTCATGGAGACGACCACCGTAGCGCGTAGTGTTCGATGCGATCGCTGCGTCGGTGTTCCCACACCCCCTAATATGCCCAGGAGCGGTGACGTTCCCCCGCGCGCGGGCTCCCGACCGCACTCTCACCGCAAGGAATCACAGCCGTCGACGTTGTTCCTCAAGGGGCTCGCCTCAAGAGACATTAACATTGTTCCAGTTTCGGAGAGCTCTTCCATGCGACAACAACGCTACTGCGTGGACACCACGGCCAAGACGTCGACTCCAACAAACAGTCTCAGCTGAATCCCGTGAGCGGCTTTCGCCGGATCTTCGGCTGCTTTTCCGTAAATCCAGCCTTCGGCGCGTTCGCTGGGTGAGACTTCGCGGGGAAAAGGAGAAGGTTGTCTCAGTGTCTTAACTGGATGCAAGTCTGCTCGGCAGCGCGCGGTGTGTAACCACTGACTTGGCTTTGCTGAATAGAGCCTGTGAATTATTCCAGCTTCTTTATAGCTTACAGCCCGTATGCCAATGGACATCAAGAGCGACCAATCAGCGCATTAGGATTAGGAACAGTCGGAAGGAGGGAATAAGGGGGGGAACCGAGGAGTCGACGACAGCTGAACGAAGTCCGTCGGTCGAGTTCCTCCTCACAAGTTCAGCGGATGCGAACTCCACGGGCGCATGGATGAGCTCTAGTTCTCCTCAAAAACTGTCGACCCAATATTCGTGAGCTAAACCGCTGCTATTGCCAAGCTTTCGAAGACTCTGTACACGGACTCGTCAGCGACGCTCTCGTCGACGCGACGTAATCTCCGACCTCCGCAGAGGATAATTGCAGGCGCGGAGATTCGGAGCAGAGATAATTCGTTGCAAAATTCCTTCGATGACACGTGAAGCAGAGTATCCACCTTCGACGCTCCATTCCGAAGTTTCAGTCTTGTCTGAACTCTCTGACGACGATGAGACCCAGTTTCTGTCGCGCTCATCGAGCAAAAAAGCAACTGTGTAGCTTCGGAATCCCGTCAACGAGCTCTAGACAGGACGAGACAAACCCAAAGCAGAGTCGCTTTCGTCCCGGTGGAACGTTCACGGAGACGACGTTGTTTGTAATCAGAGTTGAATCTCGTTAACATTCCTGCATGGTCACCTTCCAGAGTTTCACGCCGCCATGGCATTCTACAATGATACGCAAACGTACAGCAACATCAGCATGGATTCTCTGCCGACACTAGCGTCGCCTGTTTGGTAATTACCGGAAGAATCCGAACGTGACTCCACTACGTACAGGTCCATGGCGCCAACATCAGTAGAAGAGGGGGCGGATCGGGGTAGAGTCGGGGAAGGGGCGGACACGCAGAAGATGCCGGGAGGTGGGGCCCGAACGCCCCGTATTGCCGATACCAACGTATAGGCCAGCTTTTAACAGCGGCGGTGAGAACAGCCGCGGTCGAGTGAAAGGCAAGCAAACGTAGACAAGCTGAAGTTTCCACAAGCCCAGGCCGGTATTTGCGCTCATTGTGCGGGGAGCGTGCGAGGACATGTAGGAGGAGCGACGGATTCTCCCGCTTCGCAACGCCAGTAAGTGCGGAAGCTCAAGTTCCCCGTCGCCTGTCCAGCTGTATTCCTTCGGAATCGCATTTATGGAAAGATATGGAAGCGGACTCAGATAAACAGAAACTTTCTCCTGATGCCTTTCGTTCGGGATGCGAAAGACGTATGCCCCTCTTCGGGTAGACAGACAGCTATCGCGCAATCGGAAACCCCGAGTTCAAACCTTGGGATCATGGACATGAGCGGTGTTGCAAATCGTTACGCGTTACTCTGTTCCCCGACGGTCCCGGTGTGAGATGTGTCACTCACTTAGCGACCCAATGAACGAGCGACTAAGGTGAGGTGGCGGCGTCGTCGTCGGCAAGTGACTCTCTTAGCAGAACCGCCACGAGCGCACTACTTGCGTCCCTCAGCTCGAAGAGCAACGGCAGAGCTATTCCTCTTCCCCTTATAGGAGAAGTCCATTGATCAGAGGAAGCTCTTAATCGAAATTCGATTTATTCCTCCTCATTCCGCGGCAAGCAAGCGGACGGGCAGGAGCGCGGTGGGGAAGGGGCGGGGGAGCAGCAGCAGCCGAGTGAGGCAGCCTCGTTTTCCTTGAGAAACTCCTTTGCGGAGGTAACTTCTCCTCTACCGGCCGTCTTCGACTTCGGCCGGAGGCGAGCGGCTGTGATAGCACAGGCAGCTGCAGGAGAGGCAGGGGGCGGAGAAGAGGCAGAGCAGCAGGAGAAGAAAAGAGATATCGGGGACGAGGGATCGAACGGAGCAGAGACCGGTCCGAAACCTGCTTGGCTTGAGGTTCCCTCAAACGGCATTAGAGCAACTTAACGTGATCATCAGTTTGATCGTTGCACCCATTTCATTGGCTTTCTTCCCGCTTGTATCTTTCGTCTGCCTCTCCTTCTTCTTTTTTTCCTTCCTTTTCTGCTGTACACCCCGATCGCTTCTCGGTTCCTGCGTGAGCCGGTATTGTACTTGTCATCGTCTACTCGGGATTTAACTAGATAAGGTGATAGAGGGCAGATCGTATTGTCATCTGAGCTGAGGGCTCTGGATATCGTTGTTGTCGACGACAGTGACCACAGGGGTGAGCTCCGACTCCACACAACAATGAGCGGACGGGAACGCGCCAGGGGAGACGAGGGTAAAGGCAAACGATAAAGGGAGTCCAAAATAATTGATGTATGTACGTTGCTGGTTCGGCTTAGCGGTCTGCCGGCGGACGCGTCGCTGTCGACATGACTCGTATGAGAAGCGATAGCAACTTTCCTGGTCAGAAGCACGGTATGTAGCTGGAGGCTTTAGTCACGAAATTTTCCTCAAGCATGCTCGTTCCCCTTGCGAAACAGATGAGCGTCCAGCCTCACAGCGCAACGACTAGACAGTCTGAATCCAATTTCGGCCTCCTCCGCCATTTCTTCGAGTTCTGGCCATCCTCGCCGCCGAGCCAGCCAGCCGTCCATCTATCCGTCTGTGCCGGACCCAGAGGAGCTGCTCGCAGATGCCTCGCACTTGCTCCATTTCTTTTTCTTTCACTTTATTCTTTCAACGCTCTACATTCGCCCACAGTCTTATCCGCCAGCGGCGGGACACAGAATGGACATTTTGCCCTAAGGCGACAGCAGCTTTCGGTGCAATGTAAGTAGAATATAAAGGACGCCGCAGCGTCAAATCAGGGAATTCGATCGAGACATCGGTGAGATGAGCCGGGTTAAAGTTTGGGAGTTATTTTCGTTTCCAGAAAGGAGCACTTATTTCCGAAAGCATCGCGAACCTGGTCGTTTCGCGCGAGCGAGCCAGAACACGCCAGGACTTCTCTCGAACACGCTCCCGGCTCGCAATACCAGTCGGTGCCTCACAGACAGCAAATCGTGCCGCGAATCGCATCCGCGGTGTTTCCGCTGAAGTCAGCTCTCTGTGACTTTGAGCATTGCTTCTCCCCCTATGATGCATCAATATGCTGCTATCGGTCTCGGTGACATTTGACTGGTGATGATCGACCGACCGACGGACCAGCTGCGGCGGGGTCCAGCTTAACGCTCGACAAACGGTGAGTAGACTAAAATCGCTGCTTCAATACGAATCAGGTATATCATTCTATTTTAGTAAATGCTGTGTCGGTTGTCGGCTCTACGACGAAAAGTTCGGTTCCTATTCTACATTTCATTCCTTTGAATGCCCGCCCGTGATGATGATCCCTTGTCCGCCGCCGGTCGCTGTCGGCGAACACACAGCGAGAACGCGGACGACGACGTGAACGACAAAATAGCAGACGTCGTCCCACTCGCGGTTTGAGACAAACGTCTGGTCGGACGCCTGTGCGCTGCCGCAACTACTATCGATGTTATTGTTGTGGGGAAGCAATTGTGGCAAACGCCTGGCGGGACTGATAGCAAGAGTCGAGCGTGGGGCTCGAGACGCTTCCGGAAATGAGCACCGCGCGCTCAAAATTCAAAGGAAGCTCGTCGACTACCTGGACGCTCCATCACCGGATCGTTCCGCTTTCCGATGGGTCGGGGAAGGCCCACCCTTACAGGAGCCGAATGATGAGAGAATTAACGCTCTCCGCATTGGACATATGAACTGATGCACAACTTTCAAGCCTCACGTCATCTGGAGCATCTCAAATATTTGTTTAGAGCGAGAGAAACGATGAGCGTGTCCAGCGCTGGAAGCGCGTCACAAAAACGGCAGAAGTATTCGTTACATATCATGCAAAGGGGAGGTACTCACTCATTACGGCCCATGTTCGTTGTTCGGCCAGATGATCGAGGAATAGCTTGAGGGACTCTGTACATTTTTGGCATTCTTCGTAAGGCTCGCCTTCGGTCTTTCCGAAATTGCAGAAGGACGCTATGAACGGCTTGGCGGCGTTCAGGTAGGACCGGAGCTCGTTCTTGTTGCTGCCGTGCTCCGTGTTCTCCAGCTGCTCGACGATACACGACCCTCGTGTCACGAGCGCCGTGAGCAGAAACAGGCCCGACCACAACCGCATCGCGCGATTCTGAAATAAGATATACTAGGTAGATAAAAGCTCATTAGAATCGTTTTGTTTTTCGGCCTTGCTATCAGTAAGTGATGACTTCACCGTTTTTCCTCGATATCATGCCCAACGAACGAATTACTATATCGGTGCACCGGTGTGGCCGCTTTCGCCATTTCTGTCGTCGTTATATTCTCCGCTATCCATTAAGCATTCGTTATCGCGATGGCCACAGTTGTCGCGCAACCCAAGACCGGGTCGACAAAGCTACTGTTGTGAATTTGTGGCTGATTCGCAGGTGATTGAAAACTCCACCGTTACTATGACGTCACGAATGATTTAGAGATGAACGCGATGGTTCTCTCGTTCGGTTCTACCGTCGCGTCGGTCGGCTCAGCGATCGACTCGGGGGTTCGCATTCAATGATGATCTACTTTTCACTGTCGGACGGCGAGGAGTACGAACAATGAGCTCGAATCGCAATCAATGAGCTCGGCCCGAAAACAAGTTGGCCGAATAGGAATCGAGTGATATCAAAGGTCCGGGATTTGGAACAAAGTGGATTGGACGTCGTCGCTAGTAAAAGCCTGGCGGCGGACAAACGAATCGACAGCCGAAGCGAACGAACCGTCCGTCGGTCGCTCGGACGTTTGCTCGGTCGGTGGGTCAGATGGGCCGGCGAGGCGTTCTACGGGTAGGTTGGGTAAGGCGGGGTTCGGAGGAGGCGAGAGCATCGGCTTTGTGTTTGGTCATCGCCCTGGCTTGCAGCTCATTAGGCTGTCTTAATGCGACAGGGAAAACCCACCCCCGGGCGTCAATGGCTTCTGACGTACACAGTCCGACACCGAATCAGTTCCTCTTCGTTCGCTCAAACCACTGACTTGATAATCACTGGGAACTCAGAGACGAGTTCTTCTGTGTAATTATCCTCCGTTTGTCGACGGTACGCACTCGGACCGCGTTCGAGGCGGCTGGAATGACGGGATGAAGGAATTTGACGTTCTCGAATATCGAAGGTTCTCCTTAATTGTTCTATTTTGTTCTCATAGAGTTCTCAATGATTCGAGGCGCGAAAGAGCCGACAGACACGCTTCGGGAGTAGGCGAGAGAGAAATTCTTTCTGAAGTCGCCTGCTGGAAGATTTCGGCGTCCCACGCCGGCGGGACTCGACGCGATAGATTTGTCCGGTGTTTCTCAACATTACAACCACTATAAAGAGGCTCGCAGATGCAATGCTGTCATATGAACTTTCACTTCTCGAGGAAGCCCTCTCATGAACTACATCTACGTCGTGCTCTCTCCGCTTCTCCTTCACCCGGAGCGATGATACTCGATTCGTGTCGTCAGATCTTAAGGGTAGCGGTATTTCCCCAGCAACGAGTTCCCGTGAGTTCCGACCATCGCAAGCTCTGCTCTCCTCGAGGCTGCCGCTGCTCCTCCCGAGGGAAGGAGTCACAATGCGGCTCAACGCCGATATAATTAGGTCGAGGAATGATCTAGAGGTTAATGCCGAAGCCTCAGCTAACCGGCCGATTATGCGGAATCGGGAGCGAGTTTTCCCAACATGGAATATTTTTTTCAACGTGGCAGTGTGCATACCTCTCGAAAATCATCAATTGCCCCTTGTCGGGCAGGCGGGTCTGGCAATATTGTGTTGACTTTCGCTTGTTCAATGGAACAGTATTCGGCGAGTCAATGTCGTCTGACCTTCGGTTACCGAGCCTATGGCCGACAATTGTCCCACTGAGCCGGACAGACGATTGGCTCTTCGGCGCGCTTGCCGCTTGATTTCGAGCCAGAATCTTCTGTAGGTGACGTACACTTCGGCGAATCGGTGCGCTTGTTTTTTCGAAGATTCCAAGTCACTTCGGCTCGACGATTATGACTGCGTACCGCGTAATTTTTCTGATCGCTTCGGGATTCTGTTGGTGGCGGTGGCAACAGCGACGACGAGTGGAACGGTTCGGTTATCAACGCGTAGCTTCGCTCATGCGGCTCGGCCAACAGATATTGGCAGATTGGATTTTTCAATAAGGGTGGAAAGTTTAGGAACAGCTGGGCGCGCCGTGGCACCACACCATCGTCTTTCACATCCTGATCATCTATCCGGTGGAAGTCGGTCATAAAGTGTTGGTATATGCTTTAATCTTTTTTTTGGCGACTGTACCGTGAGCCGTTGTCTCCCACGCCTTGTGCACAATGCGTTTGGCTCACGTGACCGACCTTACGTGGTAGGTTAGAAGCAACCCAGCTGACCTTTCCTCATCGCTGTAATGGGCGGCTAGGTTACGCGCGCCGTGAGCATCTCATTAAAAACTCACAAGATCGTTTCCCTCTGATTCCACCGGCGTCTTGCGTCGACCAACGGTAAGCATGAGCTAATCGCGCCGGTCAACTGTTCTTCCCCGACTCGAAGTCGGGGGGAGTCCGACTATGTTTAGGCCTCGAGAGATCGAGGCTCGTATTTCTCCCGCATCTGATAGTCTTCCGGAAAGCGAAATCTATGGGGAATTCATTAGTTTTTCCCAGCACGGATGATTTTTGGATGTTTGGGTGGATGCATCAAAGTCTTCTTTGCCATCGTTGCCGCTGCTGGTTGATCGATCGACGTCCAGAAGCCCTCGTCGCTCACTTGTCAAAAAATGCAAGGCACAGAAGAAGTATCTGACTCAGTGTGCAGCCGGCCTCTGCTCGCAAGCACAAGTACCGTCTCGAGCGACCATCATCTCGAGAACGGATAGTAGGAATAATTGGTCGTAGCCAATGGCGACCTTCGCTCGCACGTCAATCTCATCTACGCCTTCTACCAACCCACCCTGCGACACTTGACCCTAGACTTACTGAAGACTCAAGTCATCGACTTTCCGAAAGAAAATTCAAGCGATGCTCGATCGAAACCTCGATGAATGGAATTTGTTTTCCAATCCGGACTCCTCGTCTATCTGTCGCTTTCTTCATCCAAGCGGTCGCCAGACAGAGTGTTCGATTTTCCCGCTGATTCAGAACCAGAGCTAATGGCTGACACGTGGATCGGAATATGAGATGACGTTGCTGCTTCTAGAAGTCTGTCAATAGGCTCCGAGCAGAATACTTTTCGGGAAGTGTTTTCAATCGAACCAAGAGCTCCAGTAGACAGTACTCGATTGTTTTGACTCCTGCGCGAACGGTTTCCACCACCGAAATGGAATTGTTTGACATTCTCCCTGACCACGAGTCGACTCGACTCACCACAGAATAAAGATCTCTTCCGCGAGCTCGTGTCGAATAGGCGCAGTCACTCTCGAAAGTCGCGTTAACGTCGCTCAAGTCGATCGAGCGGGTCGCTCTCGCCGTATTTGTCAAGGGATACTACGACCCGTGGAAAATTTCACAGGAAACCGTCGCCTACTGCGACGAATCGAATGCAAATTCTGATCGGGAAAACTCGCAGCGACAGCTTATTGTCCCTGATAGCGGATAATGATTACTCATCTGATTGCGCTCACTCATCTTTCGGTCCGCTCTGTCTGTCTGTCTGTCTGTCGGTCTGTCTGCGAGCCAGTCAGTCGATCAGTCAGTCAGTCAGTCGAGAGAATGACTGAAGACGAAGACGATTCGCGGGTCCGCCAACGATTCCAAGGGTTGTCCGTTCATCCCTGAAGTCTGAAGTGACATGCTTGCGGGCCAACAAAGTACTCCACCGATCGTCGGGCTGAAAACCGGAGCCGCTCGGACCAGCCTGGCAGTCAGAGAAGCGGACGAGCAGTCTACGGAAAACCGCGAAAATTTTCCTCCCTTTACAGCGGTGCGCGTTTGACCCCTTGAGAAGACGATGCGACGAAACGAATTACCGGCGAACTGTAACTACACTTCCGATGCAAATGGGGCTCTCGTTCCCAATTATCAGTTCCTAATTGAGCGGACTAACGAGTGAAAGTACGCCGAGCTGAAGCAAGGATTACCGAATCGCGGTTGAAAAACGAATTACGAAACCGTATAGCAAGAAGCCGCGGTGGCCTTCATGAGCCGTCCGCTGTCACGTCGATATCCGTCACGAAATCCGTTTAATACAAAATCACGGACAGCGGGCTGCAGGAAAACCCTCGGAATGGAAACAATTTCACTACGCTTATTTATAGAGAGAAGAAAATAACGCCGACCGATGACTCATTAGATTCGCATCCGAAGCATTTCGAAAAGGAATGATTCATCCGATGGTGTCGTTTATTTGTTTACACTACAATGATGATGATATTAATCCTCAGACCGCTTCCAGAGCGAAAGTTTGACCCGGACTCCGTGTAAACTCGTGGGAAGAGGAGCTGGGCAGAGTAGGTTTGCTGTGTTCTCAACAAAAGCGACGTTCCGGTCCCTCGGGCAACTTTTTGATTTTATGATCAGCCGGCTCAGGTTGGTCACAACAACCACCATCATCATCACTGCCTGTCTCCGGTTCCACTGCTCCGAGCGGGAGCTCCAGGAGAGGCGCAGAGCCCATGATTGGCTAGAGCGGAACAGCAACAGCTTCCACCGCATCTATCGAGGGGATATAAACACTGTCCCGGATCCTATATGGCTCGTCTGGGAAAACGGTCGGGGAGCCCTACCGCGACTAGTAGGTGTTTTTCTGTCAGAACAGGTCATTATGGAGCTTTCGGTCACAATCTGGAATTTTCCCTCTCATATCCTATTCTTCCTCCGGACGATTCGGGTTTCTCCCCTTGCCTCTGAAGTCAACATCCCCGCGTGCGTTCAGTTCGCGAAGCTTCCCTCTCACGCGGTCCTGAATCGAACATCCATTGCTGTCTCTCTCAGAGATCTCCAGAGATTGATTGGTCTCATTGATAACCGATTTCTCGAACGTGAGGCTAGTTTGTAGCGGATCACTCCGTGATTGGGGAGGAGAGCGCATTTCTAGAATGAGAATAAGTGGGCTCACGTTCAGCAAAGGCCACTTGAACGAGACTCTGTAATAGTCTTCCTCATTGCAGCAAGTCAGTATATAATGATCGACGGGGAGCGGCGGCATCGACGCAGGCGGG